ACAATAGCAAATATTATGATATGCTCATAATTTATGGCGAAGCAAACGAACATGCCCACAGAGCTTGTCAAGTGTACCGTGCAAGATATCCTGAACGACGTACATTTGTTGCTGTAGCGCAAATAGTTTTGAACACCAGTGAAGTACAACCGCGTCGAGGTCGTCGCGACGGTGGCCCAGGGCGACCACTAAGAATCTTAAATGTCGAGATGATTTTAGATCTCGTCGAAGATGATCCGCATCGTAGCACCGGAAATATCGCACAGCAAGAAAATATTTCGCATCCTGTTGTGTGGCGGACATTATGAGAAGCTCAGTTGTACCCATTTCACATTCAACATGTTCAAGCGCTTAATCCTGAGGAGTTTCCACTACGTCGAGGTTTTTGCGAGGACCATTCAAGAAATTCTTAATTTACAGCGCAAATACTTGTTACAGATGAAGCATGTTTCAGTCGAAATGATGTACGTAACGTCCACATCACTCACCACTAGTCTATCGAAAATCTACACGAAATACGCCACGGTGCCTTTCAGCAACAGTCTTCAGTGAACATCTGGGCCAGTATCGTTAATGACACTTTAATAGGACCTTTTGAATTGCCTAGACGTTTAGACATATCAAGATTTTTTGTAAAATTGCTTGCTGGAGTTATTAGAAGACGTGCCATTAAATGTTCAGCAAACATTGTGGTTACTGCATGACGGAGCCCCCGCTCACTTTTTTGGAGAGTAAGCGACTTTGTGGGGATATGTGAAAAGGGTTGTGGATTCCACAGAAGTTCGTGACATCGACCAACTGCGACATCGTATTGCCGAAGTTTGTAATACGATTCGAAAGGACGTGGCAATGTTGCAACGTGTGCAAGCGAATTGGATACGTCGCGCTGAAGCTTGTATGCAAGCAAATGGTGGGTACATCGAACATCTTCTATGAAAATCAGCAGTTCTGAAAAGGTGACTCCTTGCAATGTTGTGGTAAGTTAGATTTTAAAATTACATTTTACTCATCACAAATCCGTGTATTTACCTCATTTTGACATAACGGACATGTGGCAAACATATTTCATGAACACCCTGTATTATTTTTTAATTATCCTGTTTAAAACCTAACACAAGACACGGAAACGAAATAATAGTATCAATTATTTTCTGATTAATTCTGTTTTATTTCCTACACAATATAAGTAGTTACAATCAGAACCTTCAGTGGCATTGTGTTGTCATGACCTTACAAATTGTTCCCAAGTTCTTTAGCGTGTTTTCGAATGAAATCTGTAATTTAATTTTTCCACGTCGTTTGGCAATTACTTTTGTAGCGAGACAGACCTGTAGGAGTGTTTTGATGTTTCTAGATACGTAACTATGCAAATCATTCGAATTAGATTAACAGTAATTTTTTCGAATCAATGAGTTTCGAATGAGTATACCGGGTGATTCTGTTTGATATTCGCGGCTCCGTATCAGTTTTATTTTAACAAATAGCTATAACAAACTCTATATATTTTTAAATCACAAATTAAACTCTATCAAATGACATTATTAGATCGTCTCCATGGTAATATATGTCAAAATTGCTATAGTCAACTGTTTTTGTTCAAATGGCACACTATATATTTTTTTATCAATTCTGGAAGATATTTTTTTTCTGCGTTCAGCTATGTAAGCTAAGGAGCTATAAGGAAGTCTATAGGTTCATTAGAAATATTACTAGAAAAACAACAAAAAAAGATGAACCCTACTTTCAGTAGCTTTATTCTGAAAAATGATAGCCAACTGCGGAAACAACTGAATTTTGACGTTTCTAAACAACGGTTTGTTAAAATAATTGACATTTTGTACCTACCTATTCTATCTATAACTAATTATAACAATGAATACTTACAGTAACCAAGAAAAACTAGATATGATTTTAATTTATGGAGAGGACCGAAAGAACGCTAAAGCTGCCAGGTATTTATATCAATATCGTTTTCCAGAGATAACTTCCATCAGATAAAATTTTCGGAAAGTTGGACAGGAATTTCGCGGCAGATGGAAGTTTTCAAAAGAAAAGAAGAGTTTTTAAACCCAGAAGGGCAAGAGATGAAGAACATTCAATAAAGATGTTAAATGGCCTGCTAGATGTCCGGATTTCACTCCTATAGATTTCTTTCTTTGGCCTTACCTAAATGGTATTGACGACTTTAAAAGCAGAATAAGAATATAATGTCGGAAATTAAATGAAGAAACACTACAATGTGTTTATAGAGAGGGAGTTCTGTGTTTGGAAGCAAATGGAGGTCATTTTGAACATTTGAAATAAGTATTGTTTTAAATTGTTATATTATTATCGTATTAAAAATAAAATATGTTACTTTAAAAAACATAGTAGCTTATTCCCGTAGCTGACTATCATTTTTCAGAATAAAGCTACGAAAAGTAGGGTTCATCTTTTTTGCTGTTTTTCTATCAATATTTCTAATAAAACTATAGGCATCCTTACATAGCTGAACGCAGAAAAAAAATATCTTCCAGAATTGATAAAAAAAATGGTTCTATATCAAACGCGAAACAAGTTTTTAAGTAAAAAAACTAAGTCAGGGGACTGTCATGATGAAATGAACTATCAAAATTACAAAATATGATTGCAAACAAAACTTGTATCAATTTTGTCGCGATCGTTCTGTAGTAGTAATTGAAAATGTCCTTCACACTTATATCCAAAGGATGAAATTAAGAAAATGTGTACATAATAAATATAGAGTTAATATTATAAAAATCTATAAGCTGACATTGAGAACATATGAAGTGGACCAAATTTAACCGAAATAAGGTAATACTATTCTGAGACTACCACCATACACCCTAACCTGAAGCCGCTAATAAAAATGTCACTTTGATAGACGTAGAAATATTGTGCAATAATCTACACAATTACACAAGAATGGAATACTTCCTGCAAAAATATTAAAAAACATGTTTCCAGCACATGCCTTTAATTTGAAAATCCTCAGCGATTCAATGAAATCACTTTCAACGCTTTTTTTGTGAATGTGCAGGGATTGTCAGTCACTTAATTGGACAGTTTATATTGCCAAATCGAATGGAGTATTTTGAATTTCTTAAGAATGACCTACCTCTACTTCCTAAAGATGTAGTTGTTGTACAACATGTTTAAGATTACCTAAAGTGGAAATTATTGATGATTTAGATGAACGTATTACAGCTGCTGCCACCAATGTACGAACACGAAACTATGAAGAAAATTAGTTCTTGGTTGGACAAATTCAATGAGACTGAAAAGAGTTTATGTCTCGTTGAACAAACATTTCTACAATTGTTGTAACATCACGTACATAAGTATTTATTTTTTGTTGATTAAAATACTAACTAACAATTGCCGATACACATTCAACAACAACAGAATTTAATAAATTTGTTTCTGTCTTTGTTGTGAATTATCCTGTATATGTGCTAAATATTTATAAATAAATCTGGCTTAAATCAACTACCACTTATTGCTGACGGGGTTAAACTAGGATGAGTTTTTAATGAATGGCTCGTTGTCTAACAATTAGTCAAGAAAATCAATATAGATGGTTTGGAAAATGGTACCGAGTCAAGACTTGAGCCCTCTGGGTTTAGGTCATTTGTTTCTGGGAATGGATTGGTGCAGTGTGATTTACGGAATAGACACTTCCTGGTATTATTACGAAGAGAATGAATGATTACTTTCAGAACTATCAAATAAGGCTTCCTTAGATTTGAAACCCTCGACCGTTTAGTCGAATTGTTTACGAGTCTAAGATAAAGTAAGGGAGAAAATAAAAAATGTTAGGGTAAATCTGCATAATGTTAGGTATACGAGAACGATATCCAGCGTCAGTAAAATATTATACATTTTATCAGCAATTCATATCATGCTTCAAAATAATAAGAATCATAAATCTTAATTTTATTTTATTTTAAATAGAAATCCGATAGATGTGGATATTTTAAATTCAGATTAGGGATTTCTTGTGGAGAATTCTAATACAAGCGAATGTGTGGTTGAACGAACACCGATATATTTTTTTTCATATTTTACCAGTACTATATTAAATTATACATATTATGTTTTTAATATTGTTGTCCTTAGTTTTATAACCTGTTTTTATCTATTTAAATAAATAAACAACATAACCCATCGATCTAAAATTTATAAATTTTGTTCTATTATAGGAATTATAAGGTCGCGAGATTAAAATAAGTTAATAATTAACAATTTTCCAAAAGATTAGAATTTATATAAATCAAAAATAAAGTCACCACATACAATTAATAATATTTGATTTAGGTACCTATGTATATACCAGGTGTAACAGGATCATGGTACACCTCCCGTATCTCTGTTAGTTTTAAAGGCACTTTTTCATCTACAAATGTTTTTTTTTTCCACTTCCGGTTTCGCCGGAAGTGATACCAACTTTGGATTTTCAAATGGAATACCCTGTATATTATTACATTTCTGAAATCTGCATAATTTTCTGAATCCAATGATACCACATAAGTGACATTTCAAACGTCAAAATATTTATAATTTAGTTTTCCATTTAAGTGTGCCATGATGGTTCCAATTTATTCCAATTGACCCGTCTAATGCTGGAAAAATCGAAATCCCGTCAAAAATACTAAATTGCGTTTTTTATGAGCAAATAAAGTTCATCGTAATCGATTTTGGGGTAAAACTCAATTTTTTCAAATGGAACCATATTGGTACCGTGGTACCATTTATTAGTACTATTAATAAGGAATTAATTCATACCTGGTAATAAAATGTGCGATAAATACAATCAAAATTACAGCTAAAAGAAAATAAGAAAATACAATTATTTTGTTCTAATTTAATGCTAAGAAACTAAGGTGGCTTTGAAAACAATGAAATTATTCCTTCAGACTGTCAAATAAATTTTGTTGGTTTATCGGTGTTTTTATTGTGTATTGGAAAAGTCTTTACATTTGTTGTTATTTTTGTTCAAAATGCCGCACATTTATACAAGGGATGAAAAAGTGGACATGTTAATTATTTATGGGGAATGTAGAAAAAATGCCGTTGCGGCTAGAAACCTTTATGCCGACCGATATCCTGATAGACAATGTCCAGCGAGAAATTATTTTAATCGTCTTGAAAATCAATTCCGAAGAGAGCCTAACCATGATCCCGAAGAAAACGTTATCATCGACGAAGGAACGGAAATTAATGTTTTATTTCGAATAGAAGTTGATAAGACTGTTTCTTTAAGGCAAATTGGGGTTGAATTGGGAATTAGTCACCAAACGGTAAGCCGAATCTTGCACAAACATAATTATAAATCTTTCAAATATCAATTGCACCAGCACCTGTACGAAAATGATCATGAACGTAGAATGGAATATTGCAATTGGATCTTGCATAATAATGTGCAGCCAAACAATGCTCTTTTGGGAAGGATTTTATTTTCGGACGAGTGTAGGTTTACAAATATGGGATTATTTAACCGACAAAATACAAGGTATTGGTCCCAAGAAAATCAAAATTTATTGCGGGAGGGTAACTTTCAAGTGCGGTTCGGTTTCAATGTGTGGCTTGGAATACTCGGTCGTAGAATCATTGGTCCAATAATATTTGAAGGACCCTTGACTGGTGCTAGATACTTAGGATTTCTGCAAAATGAAATTGAGGACAGTTTAACTCAATTACCTGTCCATTTACGACAGGGAATGTATTTCCAACAAGATGGAGCTCCTCCCCATAATTCAAGAATAGTAATTGATTACCTTCAACAGGCATTCGAAGGAAACGTAATTTCGACGAATGGTCCTGTGCGATGGCCTCCAAGGTCACCTGATTTGACACCTCTCGATTTCTTTGTTTGGGGCCATTTAAAAAACATTGTCTATGCAACCGCCGTTACAACCCGCGAAGACCTGGAGTTGCGAGTAAGACGTGCAATTAATAGTATAACGGCCCAGCAATTAGCGAACGTTCTTCAAGAAACAGCTATGCGAGTTCAGAAGTGCATTGACGTTAATGGACAGCATTTCGAACAATTGTTGTAATGTTTTGTGTTCATTTTTTGTATTTCAAAGCCACCTTAGTTTCTTAGCATTAAATTAGAACAAAATAATTGTATTTTCTTATTTTCTTTTAGCTGTAATTTTGATTGTATTTATCGCACATTTTATTACCAGGTATGAATTAATTCCTTATTAATAGTACTAATAAATGGTACCACGGTACCAATATGGTTCCATTTGAAAAAATTGAGTTTTACCCCAAAATCGATTACGATGAACTTTATTTGCTCATAAAAAACGCAATTTAGTATTTTTGACGGGATTTCGATTTTTCCAGCATTAGACGGGTCAATTGGAATAAATCGGAACCATCATGGCACACTTAAATGGAAAACTAAAAATTAAATTATAAAAAATTTTGACGTTTGAAATGTCACTTATGTGGTATCATTGGATTCAGAAAATTATGCAGATTTCAGAAATGTAATAATATACAGGGTATTCCATTTGAAAATCGAAAGTTGGTATCACTTCCGGCGAAACCGGAAGTGGAAAAAAAATCATTTGTAGATCAAAAAGTGCCGCTTATTATGTATATGGAATATCCCAAATTTCAATCAATTACCTTTAAAACTAACGGAGATACGGGGGGTGTACCATGATCCTGTTACACCTGGTATGTAGACTAAAATATGCAAAATTGTACTTAAAATTACCTCCTCATTTCGCAACAGTTAACAATAATGGAAGAAATTTTTTACTATTTGAAAGACACAAACTTCAATATTTTGTTCCTTACGAAAATCATTTTAACTGATTCCATTAGCTTCAGCGTTTCTAATATATAAACCAAGCCCACCACACATCTCAACTAGTGTGAAATATATTGTCACAAACATTTTCATTCCGTATTTACTTTCGTTTTACACTTTTTATAATCAGAGCTAAATGCCAGTGTATTTACTCATGGAAATCATCCATATATTTTACAGGGTGTCCGGAAATTACGCGTCAAGACTTCAGGAGGTGATTCCTCACAAAAATTAGGGTCACAAAGTCCTATAACAATTTTCCGAAAACTCAATATTAACGGAGATAGTGTCAAAAAATTTTTTTTTTTTTTTAGTTTTTCTTGGATAACTTTTTTATTTGTGATTTGATTTTTTCCAAGTTTTTCCTATGTATTACTAGTGCCCTTGGACATTTATGTTCCAAATATGATGCAAATACTCCAGTGCCAAACGGCCTAACCTGACCTTAATCTTCGATCTATGTCCCACAACTTTTTTGTTTTCAGCGTTTTATAAATTTGAACAGCACCATGTTAAATATTATCAAAAATTATTTAAAAAAGTATCTCTTGTTGCGATCCAATAATATGAACCGTTTCTGAGAAAAACGACTTTAAACATTTTCATGTGTTAACGCTGTTTTAAACTGATATTCATAGTTTCAACTCATCAGTACAAAATTTATTCACTAACTACATTATTAAGTAACATTTTTATTTAGTCTATGCTCCTTGTCCTTCCATTTCGACACACACATTCATTCTTCTCAGATTGTTGCGACAAACCCTGAAGAATATGCCCTCTTTTGCTCTTATTATTGCAAAACTGTCAATAATTCGTTGCCTCAGCTCTTCCATGTTATTAACAGGCCTTCTGTATACCAGTGACTTAACATAGCCCCAAAGGAAAAAGTCGATCGGGTTCAAGTCGGGCGATCTGGCAGCCCACTCTATGAATCCACCACGCCCTATCCACCTCTCAGGGAAAATTTCATTCTCATCGTTAAACTGTAATGAGGCGGTGCACCGTCATGCAGTAGCCACATTGCACGTCGCACTCCAATAGGAACGTTTTCCAACAAAACTGGCAGATCATTTTGTAGAAAGTGTAGGTAAACCTCACCACCAAGCCTTTGAGGAAAGAAATGTGGCCCAACTAAATGATCTCCCACGATGCCAGCCCATACATTCACAGAAAATTTATTCTGAACCCACGTTCCACTACTAAATGAGGATTCTCGTGACACCAATAATGTTTATTATGTAGATTTATTACACCACCATGCCCGAATCCAGCTTCATCCATGAAAAGAATTGAATTGATGAACTATCTGTTGCCATCATGGAGATTTATAATTGTCCTGCAAAAATTTAGTCGTGCAATCGGATATCTAAGGAGTAGGGCTTGGACCTTTTGATAGTGGAATGGATGCAGAAGTTGTTCCTGCAAAATTTCATGGACTGAGCTTTTGGGAATATTTGCCTGCGATGCAATTAACCTGACGCTTATATCAGGATTATTATCAATCACATCCAAAACACGAACTTCAGCCCCGGGAATTCGACATCAAACCGCCTCATCTCAAAAGAGCCAAATTCACCTAATCTCTGATGGACAGTATTGAACAACTGCGGTCGTGGAATTCTTCTATTTGGAAATGCATCTCGATACAAACATTTTGCTCTTGATGCATTTGCCGCAGCTAAGCCATAATAATAATGCATGTCGCGTAGCTCCTAATTCGAATATTTATTATAATTATTATTGTTATTATTATTCATTTTATCAGTTTTAATCACGATATTTATTACACACAAATGATCACAACAGAATAATTCACATAAATATTATCTGTCAAAAGTAGCTAAGGCAACATTAAATTATTGTTTTCAAAGCCTCCTTTGTAAATCTTAAAAATCAGTTTAAAGCAGCGTTAACGCATGAAAATGTTTGAAGTCGTTTTTCTCAGAAACGGTTCATTTTATTGGATAGCAACAAGAGATACTTTTTTAAATAATTTTTGATACTCTTTAACATGGTGCTGTTCAAATTTATAAAGCGGTGAAAACAAAAAAGTTGTGGGCCGTGGATCGAAGATTAGGGTCAGGTTAGGCCCTTTGGCACTGGAATATTTGCATCATATTTGGAACATACATCTACAAGGGCACTAGTAATACATAGAAAAGACTTGGAAAAAATCAAATCACAAATAAAAAAGTTATCTAAGAAAAACTAAAAAAAATTTTGTTTGACACCCTGTATCTCCGTTAATATTGAGTTTTCGAGGAATTGTTATAGGACTTTGTCCCTAATTTTTTGTGAGGAATCACCTCCTGAAGTCTTGACGCATAATTTCCGGACACCCTGTATGTTATATAAAAATCATAAGACTCGTAATTCAAGAACATTTTCAACTATGTATTATCATGATCGACGATAGCAGCAGGGCCCGATGCGGATTAAAATACGTAGAGCACCTCTAAAGCTACATTTCAGTCCAAACAAATGTTAGATCGGCATTATTTACCCACCCTACATTCATCATCGGCCTAATGGATTTTTTATTACTATAAATTGCGGTGTGTATACACGCATATAAAAAGTTTTCTTGCTATTTTCATCTTCTAAAATTCCCCTTATTCGACATGCTTTGCATTCATGTACGAGCTTACTTTGCTTAAAGAAGGTAAATGTTAGACGGTTGATTCAATTACAAAAACGTTGCGTATAATATAAGAGCCATTTAGGTAATGTTGACAAATTTTTCAGTGCATTAAACAAACTAAATAATGTATTTTGATTATAAGAAAATAGTAAAAAAGTAAAATTAAATCGAATAAAATTATCTGTATGAATGTTAGTACAGGCAGTTTTGTAACCGGAGCCTTCGCCATTATTTAGAAACTAAGTTTAAATTGTAGGTCACAGTTTTAAAGATGGCTTTGAATCTATTTACAGGGTGTTTCAATCATATGATCAAAAAGGTACTGCAGCATGCTTTGGCTCAAAAGAAGATGATCTGACGTAAATTCCATTAAAAAATGCCTGGCTGCTATTGATTGTTAAAGTTATAGAAAAAAATTGTTTTTTGTAATATTTGGAGAATTTTACGATGGATTTTAATGAAACTTGCTGTGGGCTTGTTCCTAAGTAAGACTCATGTTTTGATGAAGCAATCCCGTCCATCCGCCTTGGGCAAGTGATAAAATCTTGAGTGGTTTTCTCTTTCCGATTCTTTTACCTAGGATATCAATATTGAAAGTAAAATAGTCACAATTTTAAAGAAAATTCTTTCTTTTCTAAGTACATCTTTATATTTTTTGCGCGTTATCAAAAAATAAATTTAATGAAATAAAACGATAATAATCAATCCCTCGCCAGATTTTAAAAGTTTTTCGAAATTTTAAAAAGCAGGATTTGCTTTAAATATTTTCCCATAAATTAAATATTCCCTATTTAATGCTCAATTCGACCAATATCCATATGTTAGATATATGCTTAGGTGCATATTTCTATCCGTTAGTTATCATATTATCTTTCCCATACATACTTCAATTCTGATTGTGAGGTCGGATTAAGTTGTGCAATCGGATCCATTTGTTATTTTGTTGTTTTTGTTTGTTAAAACATATGTTTTACTCTGAAACATATAAGTACGATCTAAGAAGAATTATCAGAAGAACATTAATAGCCTTTACTTTTTTATTTCCAAAACAAATTGCTTTTGAAATACATACCTACAAAATTAATCCGATTCATGATATTGTCCTATTAAGAAAATTAATTGGAATTTATATTAATTTTCAATAGCACAGAATTTAGTTAAAACAAAAAGATAGAAAATTAATTGCTTTCATTTAAGATTTACCTTCTTCAGCAAATTGTTATTAGTAGTATCTCATCGATTTGATCCAATTTCATGCTCGTTAAATAAGAATAATCACAGAGATTGATAAAGTGACAATTTCCAGAAGGGAAGAAATTTAAGATCAGTGTGATTGACTTTTTTCATCAAATTATTACGTGTTGGGTGATTATATCCAATAATTCTGATGAAAGAACAATTTATTACAAACATTTGAGGTGCTCAAAGTATTATTCCGCTTTCATTATCAAATAAATTTTCGATAACAATTAAATTCGATTTGTATTAAAAACACGTTGGTGATGACTAAAAAAATATTTAATTAAGCAAAGACAGTAAGAAATTTAAGAAATATACACAAGTGGGAAAAAATTTGAAAAGTCACT